AGAGTATCGTATCATAATCCAAATCAGCAGCCCAATTCGACATTGTTTCACTATCTTCCATAAACACTTCATCACTAATTCCTGTACTTGGAGGGAACGTTCGATTCGGCGCAAGAATGAAGCAGTTTGATCAACACACTAGAAAAGAATACCACAATAGAAATAAAAAAAATTAGATGCATTTATCAAATCTCTCTTACCATATGATAGTGGTATGATTGGAATTGTCGATAATTTTAACCATAATGTTATGATACCCTATAATATGCTCCAGCTGATTTAAATGCTCCAGCTTATTCTCGGCCAACAGGCTATCATCTGATCCACCAATTCTTTTAAGTGAATAAAAGATACATTCTTCCCAAGAAATCCAGTATCATAAAACTAAAGGAAAAGAGTCCTTATTAAAATCACTAATTGATACACGTCTTATTAAGATATCTCTACCACGATACAAACTTATTTTTAAAATTTTATTATCTGATCTTAATATTTGAAATTTTGTTAAGTTTGCTTGAAATATATTTGAAACGTTTTAACTTAATAGAATCATTTATTAAAATTTTGTATCATCTTATATTAACGTACTTTATATACATAAAATTTAATTTTCTAAAATGTACTTACCACAAGTATAATAAGGAATGTATTTCTAAAACCTCTCGACACTTCCGAATTTTCTTGACGTAATGGATACGTCTGTAATAGCTTCAGTTGCAGGTTTATCGATCCAATGAATTTATCCTCCTTGGATTGCAAGGTAATCGCTTGATGAGATTTTAATAACTGCAATATCGAAATGTTATAAATTTATAAATAATCCTACACAAAAATTCAGAAAAAGAAATTTTTAAAAAGTTTCTATTTTATATGAGACTAATTTCTTTCAAATTAAAAGTCGACAAAAACGACTGTGTAATGTATTAATATAGGTAATCTAGCTTATGTTTACACAAAATAGATTTTGAGAAGTCTATGTAGTGCATCAAAAATATATTTTATATATTTTCCTACAATCTATATTTTTTTATTTTTCTAATGTGTATATATTGAAAATAGTAGATCCAAAACATTTTCAATGCATTCATGGCCTGTATCGCAATAGACAAATCCATACTCGACATCAACAAGATATTGCGCTCTAGTGTATCATCCTTACTACTAGTAGTAGCAGGTGATAACACAGACGAGACTCGACACCAACATTTTCGGCGGTGAAATCGGTATCATCCTACAAAAATAATAATAAAAATTTAAATACTTAATTTGGACAGTTTAGCATAAGATATATAATAAATTACATTTAATTAGATTTTAAGGATTACATTTTAATTAAGACCTATTAATCTATTTCAATATTAATTTCCTCATTAATTTTTACTTACTGTATCTTGGGCGGGTTCAACATATTCACTGGAGGTCGTTTCAGATTGATAAGCTGGGTTCTGCAAGTATTGGATTACGACATTTTACTGGACCTTCAATCCTTTGCAGAATTCCATGTCCAGTCCAAACGGACCCGAAGAACATTTTAGTTGAGTTGAAGTAGGAGAATTTCTGTAAAAATAAATATTCCATATAAATTGATCGTAAAAATATGAATTTAGAAAAATATTGCACACGAATCAAAACTCTAATATTATACATACTAGCAAGTATGTATAATGATATTTATTATGTACAGCTACGACAGCTACCTATATCTTTAGTAATCATTCTCACTTCCACCGACATATAATACAGTATTATAATTATAATGTTTTATACAAGAGTTCTGAGATAGAAGATTTAAACATATATATATAATATATACATAAGAATTTCAAACAAAAATTTTGATACAATTCATATATATATATATATATATATATATATATAAAGTATATTATTATATGCTTCTCTATATATAATATAATATTATATAAAATTTAACTACAATTTTTCTAAAATGTACAACACATTATGCATAACATTAAATCTTTTCGTTTAAAGTGCATTTTCCTGCATTATTATTTTTACTAAAATAATAAGCACGCGCCATTTCGTTAATTTTATATTAAAAATATTAATATTTTAAAAAATTATATAAATTTATTTAAACTCCATTAATCTCTTTAAAGCGTCAATTTGCTAATTAAATTTTAAAATAATAGGATTTCAAAATTGAAATAATAATGTTTTAAATAATATATGTATTATAGATATTTAAACTTGAATATGTCAGAGATCAAATAATAACGAAAGTTCTTTTCAAAACCTACAAAATGAGTCTAAAGTGAATGTATTAGGATTTATGAAGGCCTTGATTTTTGAATTCAAAGTTTTAGCGTTTTTCGTGAAATTTTTTTAAACAAAACAGATGCAAATTCGAATATTTAAAGGAAAATAAAAAAAGGTAAAGAGATAAAGAAAAATAACAAAGAAACAAAATATAGAAAAAAATCAATATGACTATGTACAAATGACATATGATTAATGGAAACAGAATATACAATGAATGTAATTCCGCAATATTTCCCAGCACCATGTTATTAGAAAGCGTGTGGCACACACGGACATAGTTGTGTAAATGATTAAAAAAAGTAACAAACGTTTCCAAATCATCTCGATCAGGGAGACAATTTTGTTTATCAGTTGCATTATCGTTGATAATTTCCTGTTCCGATTTTGAAGATGATTCAGACTGTACGACCTCAGAAGACACTTGCTCGTCCTCGTTATTGTCTGAAGTGCTCGAGCCATGTGCCCTGCGAAAGGCATGTTAAAAGCGAAGCACATGCAAATGTGAGTAACTTGAAAATGATATTCTGCACGAAAATAATAACTGTTTAAAACAATAATAAAATTATGTAGAATAATTATGAAATAGGTAATGATTTTCTATTTGTTTTTCAAAAAAAACTTAAAATAAAAAATTTTAAATATATATACATATATAAATTCTATTTTAAATAAAATTATTATTAAATTAGTTATCATTCAAATAATAAGTATCAAAGATATCTTGTACATAATAATAATAAATTAATCATTGCATAAGTAGTATTTAAACAATTTCAAAATTTTATATATCTCTATGTACAGCGTGTGTATATTATTTAGCTTTTTGTATCTTATTATCTTCTACTTTATAAAAAGTTATTGGAAAATTATAAATTTATCATTCAATCTTTTATGGACTAATCTCTGATTCTGAATTATAAATTTAATTGTAAGTATAAATTACATAGTAATATTTTTTTTTAATTTTATATTCTGTTAACATAATCCTTTGTTCCTTTTAGACATATTAGGCGCATAATAATAAATATTATATTAGAAAAAGTCCTTTTTAGCTGAACTTTGAAACACTTTCCAAATCACATATGAAACAAATTTATCTCCAGAAGAAAAGCATAACAATTGTAAAAATTAAAAATAATAAAAGTGTAGGAAAATGTAGAACGTACAGCTAATAAGAGCAAAGTATCATTATTCTTTAAAACAATGAAATATCAGTAATTTTGGTAACATGCAAAAAAAAGAAAAAACTCACAGTTCTGGCGCTGACTCAATTGGTTCGGGCATTTCTTCTTGTTCCTCTTCATAGTCCGCCTCCATGTCGTCTGTCGGCGGACTGGAAGTCGTGACCGTGGGTGCGGAAAGTCTCATGGAGGATGCGGATTTCAAAGGTCGATTTTTCGCCGCCCTCTTGATCCGCTCGTCTAATAGAGACCTGTCTTTCTCCGATATCTAGCAAATAATGATGATAATCTATATATTTCTTCTCTTGTGTTAAATGATTGATTAATTAAATTTAATCACGTGTACCTGGCCGATAAGCTTAAATACTCGCTCTCCTTGTAGGAAGTAGGCCTGGACAATGCAATTCAACGCGGCATTGCGAACGGAATTGTCACGATCCGCTATCTGCTTCGCGACTTCCTTCAATGCCGCAGATGGACTGGGTTGACAGACAGAAACTCCATAATTCTCAATTAGCGAGCCTAATTGATCCAGACATTCTGCAAGAACAGAGCGTCGCGTTTATAAGCGTTCTTAATTTATCAATTTCATAATAAATTCACAATTAAAATCTGAGATTTAACCTGTTCGTTGTCGTGCATTCTTCGACTTCAAACCTTCCATCACATATGAAAATAATTTGCTCACGGGATATACTAGAGCCATTTGCTTGAATAAAGCTCGTACGCCGTTTCGTACAGCATCCTTAGGATCGCCTATCTATTGATTAATATATGAGTAAATTAAATTTATTTAATGATACATACAAAAATATGAAAGAAAAAATAAGTGTATTATAACGTACTTTGATAATAAGATAGGGAATAAAGGATGCTGCCTCTGTTTCCAGCATGTGATATTGATCTTCAATTAACATATTAAAGACCAATTGCAAGTAATCCAATCCTTTCAAAAGGACCGAAGGATTAGTATCGAAAAATCGTAATGTTAACCATTTGAGAATGAGATCCAAATTAGACACCAATGCTTTGTTATTCCCAGACAGATCCTGATAAAAATACAAATGAAATTAAAAATCGTGTTATATGTCAAATATGTACATTTTTCAAATATATATGTTTATCTCGCAAAATATAACTAGCTTCCAAAATTTTATATAAATTTTTTAAAAGTCACAATTGCATAAAGAGATTATATTTATTCTATTTTTATATAATATAAATATTTAAATTAAATAACTAATAAAAATTGATGTAGATTACTGAATATTAAATTTCTTGTTTCTCCTGTATACACATATTGATCCAAGTATATATATTTACCTCAGTAAGTGCTTCAATAGCCTTTAAATGATAACGGAAATCAGAATGAAACATATTTGCTCTCAAAGTCTTGTTGACATTTGCCGCAGTCATAAGATCCTTCAGAAGCTCGACGAATTCTTCTCTGGGAGTGGTAAAGTTCCACTTAAGTACCTTCAACTTTTGCTCGTCGATTACACGTTGATGCTTCAAATTATTGACCACCAGCAGAGGACTGGTATCTACATCGTCATCTTTCTTACGAGCACTGCCTGGTTTTGATGATGCGCCCTTCTAGAATAATAAACGAATAACGTTAAGACAGAAAAAATTGTTTTTATAAAAATAGTAGAATTAAATTTAGAAAAATAATTAATTAGATAAAAAAATGTGTAATATAATCGAATTTGTTTTATTTATAAATTTATTATCTGAATTATATATGACTCAGATATGTGTTATCTGATTGAATATGTCAAGATTTCGTTACCGATTTAACCACTTTCGTAACTTTTGCACCCTTTGCGCCACCCTTCTGAATATTGTCATCCGAAAGTTCTTTCTTGGGCAGAGGCTTTATAGGTAAACTGGGACGAGCTTTGTCCAATGCAGCAATGACCACCGTCCGTGATCCTGGCTATAAAAAATATAATTGTATTATTATTATAAGTGTATTATATTTATCAAATCATTAGATAAGCAAAATTATCACTTTATAAATTTAAAATATTTTTTTAATATAAATCATTAAAATATAAAATTCTCACAAATTATTGCTTGCATATAAATATATATATATATATATATATATATATATATATATATACAATTAGTCGAAGAGTCGAAAGAGATTGTTACAAATTTTCAATTTTTGACATATTTTTATAATTAACTTTAAAATGCAGATTTATCATATCACATTTATTTAAAATTAAAAGAAAGATATATATATATATATATATATATAAAGTTTAATATACATATATCTATTTATGTTTTTTCAAAATTTAATTTCTAAAACTTTCACTTTATAATTTAAAAGAACTATTACTCTCTCTGAAAACATTTTTTAAATAAAAGAACATCTACACTATGTTAAAAAAATAAAATCTATTACACAGAAAGCATCCTGTAACTCATATAAATACCTTCAGTTTTTCGGTATTTCTCGCCATAGCCTCGTAAGAGAGATGAATCATAAATCCGAGAACAGCTTCCTGAGCGTTCTTTCGTACGTCCGAATTACGATCCTCCAGATTAGCATACAAGTAGGGAAGGCATACGTAAAGTTCTTCTTTAGAGATCTGTTTCACCGGTATCGAGGGTAATTTCTGCGCCAGCCAGTTCCACAGCTCGGCTCGCAACATCGGTGAACCTGCTTTCAGAGCATCCCCTATCATCTCACCATCGAAGAACTCTTTATAACCACACTGATCGCCCCATGTGTTGATGCAAGTGATTGCAGCCGTTCTGATCCAATTTTTGCTATCGCCTAAACACTGCAGAAACCCGGGAAACAAAGTGCGAATGTGCTGTTTCACTGGGGATCCAATAGCTGTCGCCAACATCTCACATATACCTAAAAACATATTTAAAGATAAAATTAACTTATCGAATTATTAACCATTGAACAATAACTCTAACAAAAAGTAATGATTAATTTATATACATAATAACGATTTTTACTAAATTATATTAACAAGAATCTAAAAAGTTTTAATATAATCCAGAATTAGAATAGTTCATAAAATCAATTTATTATTAGTAATTGATCTCACTAATGATTAATAATTATTTTAATTACTTAGATTATTGATTATATGCAGTCGATAAATATAAAATATATAGTATACAATATATATGTAATATTAAATATATTTAATGTGTGATCTGTTAAATATTTTTTAATAAATTATATATTAAATATATTTAATGTATAATATTAATTAAATATTTACATATATAATAAAATAATCATATTACTCATTGTCAGTTAATAAAATAAATCGCAAAATAAATACCAACCTAGAGCTGCTTGCGCAATTTTACTATTGCTGTCCACGAGACGCAGAGCTAATCCTTGTGGCAAATCGCCGATAGAAGGTTTGATGAACTTGGTTTCGCTGAGAAGAGTATTCACCTTCTGCAGCGTCTCGTTACGCACTTTCCAATTCTTGTCAGCCAATTCGGCTAACAGCGCTTCGGTGATCTGAGCGCTAATGTCGACGCGCGGGATCAGTTCGTTAAGATCTGGCTCGCTGCCGCTTACTCTCTTCTCTGACAACGACTCATCTGCGTCCTCGTCCTCTTCTTCGGCGGTGGCGGCGTTTGTCTTCTTAGCCTTGGCGCCGCGAACGGGCGTCGGCGGAGTTTCGCCGTTACGCCTCTCGCACTCTTGCTCGATCTGCTGTCGCAGCGCGGGTTTTTCGTTGTCGAAAAACTCTAACAGCGGTTTGCCTATATAGAGATATAAAGTGCCTAGCAGTGTAATCGCGGCGGTGCGCACACTGGGATTTGTCACCGCTACTGCCTTCTTGATATTCTCGATAATGGACTTAACGTTGAGACTACAACCTGCGGGAGACATATTTCGTTAGATCACCGCCCTAATAAAACTTTGACATTTTGTTTACTTTATATTTTTCACTTTAATGCAATTATGAAAAAAAAATTAATATAGCTTGGACGCTTTTAATTTATAAAAATTATAATAGATGAAAATAAAATATAAATTATTTTTGTCATTTGTTTTCCCTTTAACTGTATTATGCAATATTGAAGAAAATCATCAGAGCATCTACTTTATATCCCTGCCTCTAAATTAAACCAAACATTACGAACCAAATTCCGTGAGTCCACGGCACAACCATAGTAGTGTCTCCTGCTGCACCTTCGGGTTTTTCTGATTAAACGCGAACGCCACTATTTCATCCGCTACATACTCGAAGTTCGTAGCTTCGGCGATTGCTAACAAAGTCTCGATAGCGATCAAACTGTTCTTCGCATCCGCCAATTTCTCCGCGATATCCATAAGACAGTATTCGGCAACGGTGGCCGTAAAAGGATGATTCTCGGCCAGGAACTTGACAGTTTCCACGCGCAACTTCAGCACCTGAAAATAGAAATAGATTTAAATATAATAAATTATAATAAATTTTATCATTAATATTAGACTCTATAAATCAAACATCAAATGGCACCCTTACTTGGAAATTCGTGTCCTTAAATCCAGGCTTCTTCGCGAGAGTGCGCACAATCACCTGGGCTGGCACTTTTGGCACTTTTGGCGAGTCCCAAGTCTTGACAACGTCCAATAGCTGTGTGACTGCGGCAAGACGCGTTTTCCAGTTAGTGAGGTCTACAAGACCAGTCATCACTTCTGCTGACAGAACCTGGGCTGCCAAATCATCGATCTCCTCCGGGCTATAATTTCTTTCTATCTGAACCGTCCTCTTCGTGGATGATGGCAGATTTGTGAGCGATGAGGCGCCACCGGGTTTCTTGGCCGTCGACTTCTTTGTAATCGCCGTATTCGGCCTTCTCGCGGTACTCGGTTTAGCGTTCTTCGAATTGTCCTTGCTCGCTTTGCTCGCCTGTTGCGATTCCACTTTGGCCGGAACAGTGTTGGGTCGTTCCTGTCGCTTCGTACTGCTCACTTTTACTGTTATCACCGCCTTGTCGGCGCACTCCTTAATCTTTGTCATCTTTAGATTATCGATGTCCGTGAGGAACGGCATCATTCCCTTCTCGCCTATCAGTTTCATCGCCGTGCCGAGCGCTTCCGCCGAATTGTCGCGCACCGTTGGATCCGGTTCATTTAGCGTTTTCAACAACGCACTGGTGTACGACTTTAGTAACTTTTTATTAAGATTGGTCGGCGGCGTGCGCGCAAAACATCGAGCCAGAAAAGCAGCGGTCTCGGCTTTCACAGCCGGATTCTTATTTTCCAAGGCGGCCAGAGTATCCTCGAGGATAAAATCAATAGTGATGCTGTCGTAAATGGCGTCGGCGAGCTCCCGCAAAGTCTGTACCACTGTTTGCTTCTTCTCGCGGAATTTTTCCAATACGGTGGGTAGACAAGCGGTGGCGTACGGTTGAAATCGTTTCTTCAAGCCCGTAGCCAGACAGGCTAGGCACTTTGCCGCTAGCGTGACCACCACTACGTTACTGTCCTTCGAGATAATCTTCTTCAAGACCCTGACAACATCGCCGTAATCACCGTTCTCTAGTTTCGGATTTTTTACGAGTGTTTCGAGCGCCTCCAACGCTTCTTTTCGTTCCTGCCATTTCTTTGCCTCGACTTTTTCGTAAAAGTCCTTCGGTAACTTCGATAGAATATCCACAGGCGCCAAGAGATCGTAAGGATCTATATCTGGGATAGAAGCACCATCCACGTCTTCGTTGTCATCGTCGCCGTTATTATCGCTCCCTGCCAACTCACCATTGTTGCTCATATTCTTTGGTTTCTTCGAGCGTAGGTAACGCGTGGGCGTCACTTTCTCGTCATTAAGATTACTAAACTCAGCCTCGAGCTCCGTAATGTGCACTGGCTTTAATGTATTCAATTGTTGCTTCAAACGTTCGCCCACCCATCGATACATCTCTACCACCATAGCTTTGCCCTCTTCTCGCACCGTCTTGTCCCTATCCTCAAGGAAATTTGCAATTTTCTTCATTAGTGGTTTCAAATTGATCACTTTTGGTCCAAATTCCTTGAGCGCCAGCGTCAAGGTAGCGATGCACGCTGAAACGATTTTCGGATTTTTGGCATCGGTGCCCTTCAACAGTTCCTCCTGCACCGCATCATATTTCTCGATCTCGATAAACATCAGCGTGATCTGCACGGCCAGTTCCTTTGTTTTAGCCTTAGGTGCGGCAATGCACTTGGACACGATGCCATTCATTACCTCGGCGACTATCTTGCCGGCTACCGCAGCGTTTTCCACGAAAGCCAGGCTCGCCTCCAAGCCCTTCTCCTGTGCAGCTGCGTTGCTGTCCGCAACGAACTTCTTGATGAAACCCATATACTTATTCCATTCTGGTGACTTTTCATCATCGATGCACTGGAATGTCTTTACGCATTCCTCGTATCCATGCAAACGTGCTCGCCAAGACTACACATAATACAGAATATTATTTATTTAATCTGTATTTAATATTACCTATATCATATATGTATACAATCTATATATATATATATACACATTTATTAGTTTTTCTTGAAATTTTTTTGTACGATGTAACAAATGTGCACTACAATGTGACATTACTTGAAAATAAAAGTAACATGCTCAATAAATTTATAAATGTATCTATTTATATGAACTAAATAATTGTCACAGACATATTGATAAAAGTAAAACTTGTTCAGATTTAAAAGAAACAAATACCATAAATATTTCAAGATAAAATACCATTATTATATATATACCTTGTGTGCAAGACGCTCCTCCAGAGGCAATTTCATATACTCAGTGTCTTCCATGATTGATCAACCTGCCTAGAAGAATGACTCATTTAGGACATTCCTTTTCGTCATGGGATAATGTAAATAAGATTGAATTAATGACAAAAAAGTACATGTACATACAAAATTATTATTATATGGACGAAGCAAATAAAAATAGATATATAACGCACAACTTTGTAACAAATATAAGTCATTTAACATTTACTTAATAATCAGAGAATTCTCAAGAAAACGATATATTCAATTAATTCAATTCATCTTCCCTAATAAAATCTTGTCAATAACATTAATTTCAACAACGATATGATAGAAATAATTATCAAAACATAGCTCTAAATTGTTAAACGCAAGTGTAACAATATCGGAACTGTTACAATTGTTTTCTCTCCGATGACTTCAACTATATAACACTAATGTTTGTAGAATATAATTTATACAGTGCAAAAAACAATAATCGAAGGATCTATGAATAAAAAGGTATGCCACACGAAGACTCAAAAAGGATCAACATCGTGATCGGAAGAGCGGTTTCTCAACGTACCTGACGCAAGATGATGGATGCGAGAGTCCGACACGGTCGGCGTATTATTTAATCGCTGATTGCGAGTCGCAGCGTCGAAACGCGCCCTAAAACAGTAAAATGCACACGAAACGCGAGCGTGCCGCTGGCGAATTCGCTCTCTCACGACCTTCTGGCGGCCATTAAATCTGTTACATACATCGAATTTTCAAATGGACATACATGTCCCTAACTGTCAAGATGAGGGACGCAAACAAAAAGATGAGTATATATATATATATATAGATACATATCTAGAACGGCGAAACGGCCCTTCCACAGATTAATAGACAGATCGCCAAAGGCCTGCCTAAAGAAGAGACCGCCATCTTCGTGCGATAGACTTTGCCCCTTACCGACACACTTTGCCCCTGGTTCGAGTCCGTGCTAAATTTCGTAGACTTGAACCAAAAGACTTTGCCCCTGGTTCGAGTCCGTGCTAAATTTCGTAGACTCGACCAAAAGACTTTGCCCCTGGTGCAAGTCCAGGCTAAATTCGTTTGACATTACCAACAGACTTTGCCCCTGGTGCGAATCCAGGCTAATTGATCATGAGACCAATTTGAGAGATTTGGCCCCCGTTGTGTGTGTGTGTGTGTGTGTGAGAGAGAGAGAGAGAAAGAGAAAGAGAATATTTTACATATGCATATATATATATATATATATATATATATAAAATTTATTAAATATAAAAAATATATTTTTTACACATAAAATGTTTTTTTATTGAAATAATCACGATTTTAAATGTGATATAACACAGTGTTCAAAAATTTTTAATTAAATTTTATTAAAGAAAATTACTTAAATTTTTTACATTAAGAATTTAAAGGCTCCTTATTCTCTTGTAGAAATTTATCACTATGCCAATTAATCACTTATTTCGAGTATTTAAAATACTATAATATACAGTAATTTAAGTATTCGAAATAAAAGTGATTAATTACTCGAAATAAAATTGATAAATTGGCGTTACTAGTAATAAATTTCTATAAGGGTTGAAATAAAGTATAAGAGATAAATAGGCTATATGTGAGCCGTATGCGAAATGTGAGATGTAAGACGCATATTGAAATTTAATTTTTCGATATAACTTTCAAAAATGTACACGAGGTACAAAAAATTAGCTTGGACATTTGTAAGACTTAAAATTGGGATTAATTCTCAATTCTATTAATTAAATTTCGATATAACACACCTTACATCCGCGCACGGCTCACATATAGCCCATTTATTAGTGCAATTTTTAAGTTCCTTATTTTTCAAAGTTCACCTTTTTACGTTATCAAATATTTTTGGTACGTTTTCAAGAATTTTATATTTTTACTTACCGCAGTTTCTTATCCAAATGTAAAATCTTTTATCGCAGTCTATAAAAAATTGAAACAATTTACAATTTTATGATATAATATTATTATTATTACAATTTCTATATATATGCACATCTGTCAAATATCGTGATTTATTTTACATTATTATTATCTATTTTAATAAAAAAAAAAAAAAAACACTTGCAACAATCAAAAATAAACCGCCTGCCGCGAACGGAAAATGCCAAGAAAGCACGCAATTTCCGCGAATCTCGTAATTTTTTTGAAGAATCAACAATTTCAACGAAATTGTAAATTCTTCAAATCACTGCACAAGTATAATTCACAATAATAATTTTCAGTAACTACGATAAAAAATCGTATACTGAAAACCGCAAACGAAAGTGCAATGGGAGTAAGAGTAAAGTCTGTGATAAAATTAATTGTCAATAGAAAATTAATAATTTTCAAATAGAAAAATTTTGAAATTACCGAGGATTTACAAATAATAAAGTAAAAATATTAAATAATTTATGTTTTCGAATTTTGCTCGCGGAGAGGATCTTTAAAACAAGATTTTTAGAAGAGAGGACCTTTAAAATATAAACAGGCAAAAACGTTGGAAAAATTAAAGCGCGCGTTTAAACAGATAAACGCAATGAAATAGATACGCAATTGTTTTTACTTATCGCTGTAAGCTCACAAGCTTCTGACGTGCTATACACTTTTATATAATATATACAGGGTGTCCGGTAACTAACGGACCAATGATTAAGGGCGGATTCTCTGGCCAATTTGGAGACGATTTTTCCTTAGCAAAAATGTAGAGAAGTCAATAATTTTCGAGTTATAAGCGATTGAAAAAAATAGGTTTTTTGAAAACTAAACGTTTTGGAGTTCAAAGTCTAACATAATTACATTCTTCAGTTAATTTCAGGTAGAGTTTACTATAATAAAATTTTAATTTAAGGCTTAGTTATAAAGATATATAATGACAAAGATTGGAAAGTTGTAAAAAATGATGACCTTTTTCGACATTTTCGCTGAGGAAAAATCGATCCCAAATTGACCAAAGAATCCATTTGTAATCATTGGTCTGTTAGTTACCGGACACCCTGTATATTGGACACGAGTTTCGTTTGTTTCAGATTCTCGAGAGTTGAAGTAGGAACATACGAGTATCATATATCGTTTGTGACTTGCCGAATGAAAGCAAGACAGAGAGCGAACGAGATGATGAGCTTAATAGCTCATAATGTTATAAATAAATAAATAAAAAATTATAACTTGACCTACTAGTTATTGAATCTTTTTTTAATAAAATGTTTCATTATTATTATCATCTAAGTCTAAGTCGTTTAATTACTTTTTAGTTTTTTAATAATTAATTTAATTTATTCTAGTCATTTTTATGTGAGAAAAATAATATCACGTTTTATAATGAATTAATATATTTCGGGAACCGAATTATATATTCTTAATAATATTAAAGTGTTTAAAAATTATATTTGACTTTTAATTTTAATTATTTTTTAGCAAAGAGTTCCGAAATCTCTTACACACATAATGGGGATTTTTTTCATCCATATAATTCGCAATTTAGTATATATGTTAATTATTAATTTTAATAAAATAAAAATTAAAATTAAAGGTCAAATATAATTTTTAAACACAAATATATTAAATTAATTATAAAACGTATACCCATGATAGTATTTTTCTCGTACAAAAATAATTAGAGTAAATTAAATTAATCATAAAAGATTAAAAATTAATTAAAGAATTTAAACTTATATTTTATATAATAATAAAACATTTTATTACGTCAAACCGTCGTGAAATAATTAAATAAATTTGCTAGTTACGTCGAAGTCAAGTTTTCTAAGCTTATAAAACATTTTATTAAAAAACAGATTCAATAAATATAAGTACATGTTATATATATACTTATATTTATTGAATCTGTTTTTTTTATAAAATGTTTTATTATTATCATATAAAATATAAATTATTTAATTATTTTTTTATTTTTTATGAGTAATTTAATTTATTCTAGTTATTTTTGTACGAGAAAAATACTATCACGGGTATACGTTTTATAACAAATTAAATATATTTATGTTCAAAAATTATATTTGACCTTTAATTTTAATTTTGTATTTTATTAAAATTAATAATTAACATATATACTTAATTGCGAATTATATGGATGAACAAAATCCCTATTATGTGTGTAAGAGATTTCGGAACTCTTTGCTAAAATAATTAAAATTAAAAGTCAAATATAATTTTTGAACACTTTTATATTATTAAAAATATATAATTCGACTCTCGAAATATATTAATTTATTATAAAACGTATACGTATTAGTATTTTTCACATATTAAAATGATTAGAATAAATTAAATTAATTATTAAAAAACTAAAAATTAATTAAACGACTTAGACTGAGATGATAATAATAATGAAACATTTATTAAAAAATAATTATAATAGGTCAGGTTAATATTTTATTTATTTATTTATTTATAACATCATAAAATTCTGTCCTTTCCGAAATACGCGAACGCTACGAAAAGATAAATCTCGTACATGCCGCCGGACGAGTTCATGAGCATGAGACGCTCTTATCTTGGGAACGTATTAATAGTTACTGCATTGACCACTACTACGATATGGCGCTGAAATCAGTGAGAAATGCTGGTCTCTCCTTCATCCAGACCTTTGGCGATCTGTCTATTAATCTGTGGCCCTTCGGAGAACCGTTCGATTTTCGAGTAGTTTGACGTCGCGACAGTAGATGGCGACGAGTGCACCTGCACCCCGTTTTTGCATATAAATACATATATGCACTTGATTCTTTTTTTCCTGTCATCCTTTTTCAAAATTCAATATATATGCATATATTTTAAAACTAAAAATGCAGTTAAATTACTTAGAAAAATAAAGAATAATTAAACCTTTTGTTTGCGAAGCGTACATTTAAAAAAAAATGAGAAAGGTGAAGGATGAATTTGATTGGTTTCGCCATGTTGTGATGCACATATGTAGGTGTCAGCAATATGGCGTGTTTTATACTTTTGCCCATCTAGTAACTTTACAATATATGATTAAGTAAGCCTACAATCTGATATAATGAAAATAATAAAATATAACGGCTCTAATAAGTATCAAGCTATGATTATATTACGTATATATGCCAATATAGATAATAAAAAGGGCTAATAAGAGCCAAACACTGAATAAAGATGTGAGGTACGTAAAATATTATATATATATATATATATATTATATATATATATATATATATATATATATAATTTATTAGTTTAATTTATTTTTAAATTATTTATTAATTTATTAATTTAATTAATATATCTTTAAAGAATATTAAGAGAAAAAAGTTTAAATCTTCATAATACTGAACATTTTAGATCATATATATATATCAAATCGTTTCTATTATATATTTTATTATTGATGCAACGTCAAATTTTTATGTTCAAAAATCTGAGATCCCATATATATATAATGTGCATATGATATTTAAAAAATATATGTATCATGCAATTTGCATGATACACACATATTTTTTAAAATGTATGTATATATGTAAAACATTATATTTGAACTCTATTGTTATAACTGATATTTTATACTACATTGTTATAACTGATATTTTATACTACATTGTTATTACTTATATTTTATACTACATTGTCATTATATATATATAATTTACAAAACCAATAACATATGCATATAAAATTACAAAGTTCATCTCTGAATTTGTCTATTATTAATTAGAAATTGATTTCTTCAAACAATTAGACCCAAATTTGTCCAGTGTTATTTTTTTTATTATATTTTTCCTCTATTATCAGTATTACAAACTTAATTGAATAATGTGCCATATTTAGATTCTGCTTACAATTATAAGATATAAATTATTTCATGTAATTAACATTCTATGATTATTCTGAATCGCTTACACATAAAAGAATTATGCATTAAAAAGTTGAACAAATAAAGTATATAAATTATCTAATTAAAAAATTTGTATTTTATATACACAAAAAAATAATTATAATAATTAAGATATAAATTCTAAATTCTCATTACAATGCATACATTATTCTAATTTGTATATTTAATTTAACGGCATATAATGATAAAAGATAGCTTTATAAATATACACATTCTACTCTTTTTAAATTCATTCAATACAAAATTTGAAAGGTTTTTTATTGTTGCTAAAAAGAAGAGCCACTGTCACATTGATATATTTTTTGAAAAGTTTATTTATCCCTAAGAGATATACAAAACAAACATTTTCTTCTCAGTGTGTAACTATCATAATTCCCCTAGTAGTTATAACACAGGAAATTCATGTCATGATTCTTTCGAATATATTCCGTTTCTTTTTTTCTTTTTCCCTTTTTTTTTTATTTAATTGTCTCTCCATCAAACAGATACCGTGTCTCACACAATATCAGTATCAGTTACAATTCGCTCTTAATTTTTCATAACCAGCTATATGTTAAAATTATGCATATCTGCAAATCAGTATTAAAATATTACAATTTGATATTTTACAATCGTTTGTTATTCGCGTCTTCTAACTCCCTCTAGAAAACAGGTTCCTTTTCATTCGTTCTGCTCATCCTGATAAATTGTTAGAATAATTTTTTTACGTCGATAATGTGAGACAATGTTCTCTGGGAAGGGGTAACGGGAGGCGGGGAAGAGAGATTTAACGATTTGAAAGAAGTGACTGTAATTTCAGATCGCTGCGAACCAAATGTTAAGGTGCAAATCCGATCATAAAATCTCTTAAATTTATATAAATATACGAGATAAAGAAATATATATACGCATATATACATATATATAACATATGTAATAATATATATCAATTTATATACTTATACTTTATATAATTATATATTTTAAATTATAATATATATTATATATTTTTATATATGTATGTATACATATATTCATCTCGCTAATCATTAATGATGACGACAACGAAGAAACAATATTAAGATCCTAACTTTTCTTTTTCTGTCTTTCCTTTTACTTCATATTTACTATTCGGCTCCTCTCAGTCCCCTCTCTATTCCCGAATGCAATTAGAATCACTGTACACGCTATATAGGATTTAGGAATGTTAATATTACAAGAAACCACAATAATTTATTATAATACAGCCTGCTGTACACCAGATGACTCAAGGCAGTACAAGACAGAGAAAAACGCCCTTCACGGGGAGCTTATCTTCTATATTAATTCAACTCCCAGAAACATGGCTCAACGAAGCGAACAATGATCATTATATTTATCATTTACGTGAGTTTCGAGACGGTAAGATTTCAATGTATTTCTCTTTTACTACTTTTATTTCCTTCAATGCGAGTTAAAAACGAATGTGAGAGGGAGAATGGCAAGGGGCAGGGACCACTTATTCATGATTGGGGTAAAAAAAAGAGAGAAAGAAAGAGTCGAATAGAGAAAGGAAATATAAAATGTCATTCATTTTCGCAGTGTTAAAATGACCCAAAAAAAAAGAGAATAAAGAATCAAAAACGTGCTGGTATCGTCGAAGTCAGATTAAGATTTAATAAACAAATATCTTGCGCAAACATTGCATTAAAACCGAAACGTATCGCATTATTAGTGTCGCGTTGCGATCGATTTGTCGAATAACGAGAAAAAATATATTCGTGGCTGGAGTAACGAGCTGCCGGCAGCCCGAATTCGAAAACAGCACAAATGGTGTATATGTATATGTAGGTGTATATATATATATATACACGATAAAATGGAATTTCTTTTTTAATTTCGCGATTACAATGATCGTCGTTTTGATAAATAAGGACTCGGCGATACCGCTGCTCCATGACGCTGGGATATCGTGCTACTAATTTTGATTTAATATTAGGCCCTTTGCATATGAAATGTCAGTTTTATATCAACAATTCTCCGATCATTTCTAATGAGAAACATAAATATATACAAATATATGTAAAGAATGAAAAAATGTATTCCTTTGTATTCCTTTTATGTGAATATGCACTTTAAGAGTAAATTAAAAAATCATACATTAAATAGAGAATAAAGAAGATAATAATCTTATTTTATATTCGTTTTGTCACTATTACGGTGATTCTTTCTAGATGGAATTTATAAATTGTGACTATATTATCCTTATAATTAATTTTTCTTCTTATTTTACCAAGAGAATATACTCAGGCCTTATTAGGACCTGTATATAAATCGATAATCGATTCACGCGCATAATACACTCAGCGATGTTGATTAATCAAATCCCAATTCTATTTCGCGTCGAGCGAGAATGCAATCGAGAAAGTATCGCACGATAATTTTTTTCAAAGACAAATGATACGTGTACAATACCCCCTCTAAGATGATCTTTCACATTAATATTGTGTCTCATAAGGGCAGAGATGCGCAACTGTATTTAATTTCGCAAGTGTATATATAATTTTAACAGTTCATATACACAACTGCGTTCATATAATTAGACATTCTTGCGTTGTCGTAGGAATATCCTATACTATTCTTTGTTAAGAATTTTTCGTTCTTTCAAACCAAAAGTGAAGGAGGAGTTCTACTGTAGTAATAAATTACTTATCATTTGTCTATTATATAATAACAATGATCATAATAGAGAATTAATAATTAATGGTAATATTATATTAATATTATTAATGTCACGTCCGACTTTAAAATAAGAAGTTAATATATTATACTAATTTTTCTCATAAATTTACCGTAATGTATAGGAAGAGCAACTGTTTCACCGAACTGCAATATACTTTAAAAGAATTATTTCAACATGATACACTGATGATTGTATAACTATTAAAAGACATTCGAAAAAGCGACATCTCATATGCACCGGTCTAATAGAGCTGCGAGCTACATACACACGCATTTCACTCTCTCTCTCTCTCTTTCCCTCTTGCATACAATTTTTTTCTTTCGATTCAATTCACCATAACATCGAGCTTATTAGCTACGTAAGGCTCAATCACGTGATGATTTGTAGTTTTTAATATCGCCGCGTAGTTTTTTTTGGAAGAAAAAAAAAAATCGCACACGCACTAAAAAAAAAAAGACTAGAGAGTCGCCGGAGAATTCAAGTCTGTGTTAAGATACACATATATACTTAATTCTAAATATTACTTACAACTATTACAAAGACATGATTGTGTGTTCCTCTCAATCAAATTAATTATATATATTCGCGCAAATATGCATAAAGCGGCCCCATGCCCCAACACGCGCGCTCATTAACATGATCCTTCCGTTAAAAATTATACGGAAAAAAAGAACAAAGCTTTTTCTGTACAAGATATACAACAATGATCTGTTTATGTTTGTTTCATCTCACAACGATTGTGTTTCTTTTATGTCACGCTGGCGACGAATGAACTGAACTGAACTGAACTGAACTTAAATCCCCCAAAAAGTATAATATTAATTTCGCAACGACGCGACCGTGACTCGTCTCCTCCTTTTTCTAAGAACAAGGATCCGAGAGAGTACTTCGTTGTACCACTCGCGCAAATTGGCAAATCATGCAAAAAAAACGAAAGAACGATATTTTTCGCGTGTCGAAATCTCGAAAATTCGCAAAAATATACGAGATAACAATCGTCTCCGATCCTCGGTTATAGGAGCCCCGTCATTATCGCGGCGTTTCGTCATTAGTAAACTAAAGCTAAATAGCTCAGTAACATAGCTTCGATAGAGCAAAAAGTCAACAATGATTGAGCCCCTGCGCCTTTCATCCGAATACAGAAAGTGTGGGCACCCACTGTCTTCTTATCTCTCTTTCGCTTGTCTCCTCTCGATTCTGTAATATTTTTTTGTTTCTTTCGCTATCCTACTAGCCACTTTACATCATCATTACTATCAATATGTTAAAGTACAAATGTTCCACTCACACAATGACCTCTCTCTCTCTCTCGCGCTCTCGCTCACGCTCGCGCAGCACTCATACATATATCAGTTTTTCTTTTAAAATAATTACCGTAATTAGCGCGGATTACTTTATCATTATCGTAAATAATCGGGGAAAGAGAATTAGGAGGTGTTGATTGGTGGGGATTTAAAGAGCTTGGTTGATTGATTGGTTGGTTGCTTGGTGGTGGTTAGTTACTTTGTTCTCCTAATGATGGTGGTGTAAGTACGCTCACGCTAAGGTCAATGGTACGTACAGTAGGTGAGGTATGCTTTCAGGATGAAGGACACGGGGTGATACATGAAGAAATTTCGACGTGCATCCGCTATTCGTCGTCTTCTTTCCATTCCTCTTCGCTGTCACTTTTTATAGTTTGGTTCGCCGGCGGTCCACCCATCATCGGGGCGCCGTCGTTTTGCATTTTCTTTTTGTACGCGGTCATTTCCTGTGAGAGAAAACGCATTTCATCGTATTTCATAAACACGGACATGAAAGTCTTCCAGTTCATTTCATGAATTTATTCTATTATATATGAACTGTATTCAATAGTATGAGAAACAAAGAGAAACTAATTTGTTCTGATGTGGGTGGTGCAAGAAAGTTTTCGACTTTTAGCTTCCGATGACAGAAAATCAATACGATTTCGATACGAAAAGAGCCTTAAAAAATTAAGATCTCGCTAAATTTAGATACGTTACCCTTTCATATCGAGCTTTGTCCTTCTCTGCCATAGCCTCGTATTTGGATTTGGTTTCGGGATCTGCATCTGACCATTTCTTGCCTAATTCCTTAGCTATATCGCCTACACCGTATTCGGGATTCAGCATTTTGACCTTGCCACGTTCATCATTGCAAAACCAAAAGAAAGCGGACCTGATAGAATGAATTAATCGTGAAATTGTATCTGCGAGAGCATTAAAATGGTTCATCTTCATAATTAGAATCAAAATTAGAATTTTACTTTACTTTTTTAGAAAGGAATTATTCTAACTTTTAACAATTTTTTTAATCTAACTCTAATAAAATCTTGAAAAAATAAAGTTTAACGCAGTTTTTTTTAATTTCAAGATTATAAAAGCAGACTTTGAAAAAAGATCAATAAGATTGAATGATTTGAAATAACGTTAAGAATTAAATATGATGTTAAATCATACTGGACTTGAAAGTTTTTCTTCAAGAATAATAATAAATAATCTACTTAAAATAAAGCTTCTTCAAGATTATAAGTTTTAGTTAAGAATTAAGATAAAGAAACAAATTTCATAGAAGAACGGGAGATAAGAAAACTAATTTCACGAACTAAGATTAATCTCTCTGAGGCATGATTGAAGTGTTTGAAAGCTGAATATATATTCGTTCAAGTCCGATTTTTTTAGCAAACTTTCTCGCTACATATTTAAATATTAATTAGCATATTCTTCCTCGAGATCGACAAGATACATCATGAACAAGCAACATGGGCTTACAGTGATCTCTTGGGAGCATTGTGATCCTTAATATGTTTGCGTTTCTTGCCCCTGCCCTTATTTTCTCCCTTGGGCGGCGTGTAATTCTGCATCTCCGCGTCGTATCTCTTCTTATCTTTCTCTGCCATTTCATGGAAACGCTTCTTCTCTATGTCCGACATAGTCTACGATACATGATATCCCATGTTAAGTATAATATGCAACGTTAAAATGTTTATACAATTAGTTTCGAATTATAAATAGTTGATACAATTTTTTATTGAAAAAAAATATTAATTTAGTCTGCGGAATATTTTGTGAAATCCTGACTATGAAGTAATCTGATACAGTTTTGAAAAAACTTGCTATAACGTCTGTAATAACGTCGTGACGCAAGAAGTTTTTACATATATTTTGTTTTGTTGTTATTAATAATTTTTAAGTGCACTAGACGAGATAAAGATTGACAATTTAATAGAGAAATGTCAGCTATATAATGCACTTAAATACTCGCATATAGTGTTTACAGAGCGCATATATTTATTTAGAGTTGGAGATCAAAGTGTAGCTCTTGTAAATCCGCTAAACTTGTGATAAAACTAAAAATTACACATTTTATTTATGTTTACACTACTCTTGTATCATCGAAAACAAATAAAAAATATACATTCTATTTTAAAAAACTCTAGCACTAATGAGATCAAATATATCGTTTATTAATATAAATATAATTTCACTTTTTATATATTTTAATTTATAAAAAAATAGATATATAAAGTTTATATATATATATATCTAAACTATTAAAAAATTAACTATTAAATATATCTTACCTTCCACCTCATTGCACATTTTTGGAGAACTCTCGGAAAACGATCTTCTCCTCGGGATGCTTCTTTTGTGCTCCTGACGACATGTCTGGACGAAGAACGCGTATGCTGTCATCCGTCCTCTTGGCTTCGAATCTTTTCCTCTCGGCATATTGTCCCGCTGCAGGCTCTGAGCGTTATTTTGTTGAAGATTATTTTGCGGTAGCTGCTGTATTTGGTGCTGAAATCCAAGCAAATAATCTATCATGTAAAATATGTCGTCGTAGAAAATGATATAGCTGTAACAAATAACAAATAAATAGAGCATATTTGTTAACTTTAAACAACAAGTCATAAACCACAGTAATAACTTTTATTTTTCTATTAAAGAAGAGATTTCTGAAATAGAAATCTTTCATTTTTGTATAAAAAATTTGGAATTCTAAAATAGCAATCTTCTACGTTTGTAAAAAGAAAAGAATTATCAATTTTAAAATACAAATTTTCTATTTTTGCATTAAAAGAATTATTTGAATGCTAAAATAGAAACGTATCTGTTCTTTTTTCATCACATTAAAAAACATTTATATTTTAAAGATAGAAATTTTCTCTTTTTTATACAAAAAACATACAAAAAAAAAGATTAATTTATTTCGACGTATTTTGCAAGAAAAAATATACACGATTTCTCACTTTAGATAATTTATTCCGTCATAATCCAATAAAAAAGGAGTCTCGAAATTAGATTCTAGAATTTTCGATTTTTACGTTAAAAGAAAATTATAAATTTGTTTAAAAAAATAGATTATCTCAATTTTTCTAATTTTAGATTATAAAAAAAATTCGGGAATACATATAATATATACAAAGTAAAATGTATCGTGATGTATTAAGAAAAATTTGCGTTAAAAGGAAGAGATGAGAAGAAAATTTCCTCGCACATTACTAGTTAAAGGATCATGAAAAAAATAGAAAATTTGCAGAGACGGCAAAATGCAAAAGATCAAGTTACTTGAGACTTGGTACGAGCGAATTTAATAAATTATTCGCGAGATATATATATATATATATAACTGAGACGTGTCGTTACGCACTTTATACGTAATATGACTTGCGTGTTAAATTAATGAACGGCTGCGGCCCGCGATCTCACATTGACAATGAGACACACGTAACAATGCTCGCCGTACACAAACGCGCGTTTTTGATTTTGTCAAGTAACAATGGTCATTATATTGTACGCACGCGTGCACATGTTATACATTATTGTGTGTGTATTATATATTTATAATTATTATTATTATATTATTATAATTACACCTATATGCGCACACTGTATACGTACGATATATCGACCCTTATTACTCCAGATTGCGGATAATAATAGTTACCACGTACCTGCAGAAATAATCGGAAATCTAGTTGACCTACGTGCGGATGTGAGATCTGCCGGCAAAATAACTACTATGTAAAATCGACATTGTTATTGAGTCGCTCCATAAATAATGCAAGTTTTTTTTGGACATTTTTAAATAAAACAATCTCGAAAATATATGTGTATATATATATATAGATCTCTGTTTCTCTATATTCAAGTTAATTAACAAAGCCAGTAATTCCTTTTAGACTAAAACTCGCATTATTTATGAGACGGTTCAATAGATCGCATTACATAAAATATATCTGACATAATTAATTAATATGTCTGACTAATTAATTAATTAAAATTCAATATGCTGTTATATAAGCATTCTTATAGAACTTATTATATATAAAAATATGTATATTTGCATATATAGAAATATATTTAACACAACAAATAGAGAAAAAATTTAAAAATACAATCGGACGATGATGTTACTTTCTTTTCTCTCGCTTTTCCGCGATATCGCATATTTTTCTATGCAACATTTTCTATGCATTCGTTGAGATGTGCAAGGGATTAAAAATTGATACCTCTCGAGCCGCAGGCGTTGCATTACGGTTTTCTATGTTCACAACAGTATAACTAAAATTAATATAGAGCATATAACGGAGGCTATATATTTACGTCAAATCATCTCATACGAACGTTGATAATATATGTACATACATATATATATATATATATATATATATATATATATATTTTTCGATCGTAATTTCGTTTGTTCAGCAGGTGTTCTTTCGCACCCAAAAATGCTTTCGTTGTGAACCGCGTTATAGATTTTATTAATTTATGGAAATAATAAATGGGAAATTGGAAAGCATTATGTCTTTCAAATGAAAATTTATTGAATATAATTTGTATTATATTGCTGCTAGAATATCTCAGAAAATAAAAATCTTGGATAATAAGAAATTGAATATTACTATTTGAATTGATATAATAATGTCATATCATGTTAATTACACACATATGTAATATCAATAATATTTAGTAAAATATATTATTAATAGTAATATTATGTGTTATATAAAAACTTATCACACGCATATGTTATTTAAATAGAATGTGATTGTGAATGTTAAAAAATATTGGAAACTATTCAATAATTATTTTACACTTTTTTCTATCTTTACACTTGAAAACAAATATTTAAAATTCTATTCTGTATTCAAATTTACTTGAATTTAATTATAAAATATTATATAAGTATAACTTTTTAACATAATTTATTTTTTTTTATTTACTTAACAATTTTTTATGTTTCAGCAGAATTATGGAGGAATTAGAAAAACGTAATGAAAAATGTTTAAATGCAACGAGATCAAGATATTGATTATTCACGCGTTCAAATACAAAGGATTGAATTTATATATTATACAAAGGACATATTACTGGAAAGTATTACAGAGAATCGCTGCCGTAAGTTTAAACTTATTTTAATATAAAAGTGATATATTAAGAAAAGAATAAGAAATAGTGTATTCATCGTGTAAATTTATAAGTACAACTTAAGAATGTGTTTCTCAGACTAATTTTCTTAAATAGACTATCTTTTGTTCAATTTCGAGTTACTCTTGAACATGAGCTTCAGAACATATCTACTCTCGCTATCGGGGAGCATTGTCGTGTGTCTGTTAATTAAAGCGTAAATTGCGCTCCTGTTAAAGCTTCGGCATCAGCTCGATATCGCACACACCTTTGTGTGCTGAGATAAAAATATTTTAGAAATAGTTTCAATAAAAATACACGACATGAGAAAAATATCAGGCTAGTGAACGACAAAGAAAAACCGAAATATATAATCTGTTAGCATAATACAAAGTCAAGGAGCTTTTTTTCTCAATTCTGCATATCCTAATATTTAGAAATATAAATGAAAAACAATAGTATTTTATTATGCTAATGTTATATTATTTTAAATACTTATTTTCGGATTTGATAAGAAACTTTTAAAAAGCAAAAATCGCAAAGTGCGTCGCTTCTCTCGAAAATTATCTCGAAAGTGCGTAATCGAACGGGATCATTCATAAACTATCATAATTTCCATATGATTCCATTTTCGTTATAAACTCCATCTGCAACTTTGGAAGAAAATTGTGTATGTGTTTTGATCTTGTTGATATCACTGTCAATGTCAATAATTGATTGAGATAGTGAGCAGATAGTAATCTTAGGTTCTTAGCTTTGCACAAAAAAACTTGGTTTATAAAACTTGCTTTATACATATGTGTGTAAAAATTTGGAAGGCAAAGATGATCGAAACTTTGTATTTAGAATTTTAATTCATGGCAACATTTATCATAAAAGTTAATGTATTATATCATAAATCGGGTAAAAAAAACTGGTTTCAATTAAATTCTATTATCGCGTTTTAAAATAGTAAATTATTTTTTTCCTATTCCATGTAAATATGCATATACATCTTTCTCTGATATCCTTCGAATTTAAATTGCAAATCTGAGCGGTCGGTTAATGTAAATGTCTCTAAAATAAAAAGATTGTATATGTACAGAGAATATCTCTGTAATCAATAATATGAAAATTGTTTGCCCGCCCCCTCCCCACCTCCCCCACGCATTGGTCAAATTTTTAGATCTGTTCCATCATAATATTTCTCTCTTTCTATCTTTCCCCTTCCTCCCTTCATTCAGAACGTCACAGTGTCTGCATATGTTCATGCTTATCTCACTTTTAGTGTCAAAAAGCGTAACATAGTGTAATTGAAGAAAAAAAGAAGCAGACCTTTTGACACTTTATGCCGATGAAATCGCGAGCCGAGAGAAATGAAAACGAGATACCACGGCGCGGCTGGACTCGTTGAACGCGAACGCACTTACGAAGAAGGCCGCACGAAACCCGGAATCAATAGCGGACGGCGGATGTACGGACGGACGGACGGACGGACACGGCGGGGCTAGAGCCGCGCGCGCGAGTCGGGACGGGAACGATGAAACGCGCGAAAATTCTCGGGTCTCTTTCTCTCTACCGAACTTTAAAAATCACGATTAAAAGTCCCAATTTTTCAACCAAGTATATCGAATTAGAAGGGAATACGTGAATTTTTTTTTTTTTTTTTCTTTTTTTTTTTTTTACGCTATATCTCCAAATATATCTGGGTTTTTCTGCATATACCTTATATTCCACAGAAATTACAAAATATCCTAAGGATTCTCCTCACAGTTGATATGATATGAATAGTTTCAAAATAGTCTCGTTTCTTCTTTATCACTTTTGTCTAAACTTGCGCATATCGCGAGCTTTGTCGAGTGATTAATCGGTCGTTCACTTTTTCCAATGATAAAGGGATAAGCAAGTGCATCAGAACGCTTCCAGAAGTGTCTTGAAGCTTTCGTCTTTTTTTTTTGTGGAATCTATAAAATGACACATAGACTTGCATTGAGAAAATCAATTAAGAAAATCTGCAAATTAAAAAAATTCGAATAATCAGAACACTGTATAAGATATATGATATCAATTGCCTTCAAAAATTAAAAAAAAAACGCATTCCCTCTACTTTTTC